AGATGCAGTAGTCCTAATCCCGGGCAATGTCTATGGATCCATTATTTTTGGACATCGGATGAACGCCATGACAAATTCAGTTGGCATTTAAGGGTCTTTTCCTGTGTTGACCATAGAAGAGAAAAGGCTGGGGTCCGATTTGCGTTATTCGAACGCATCCGCTGCCACCAGTGTAGAATCCCAGAGCCCTAATAGGTAAAAGACTGGTACAACAGAACAGGCTTTATTGATCAATCGGAAGCCAGAACCACGCGTCAGGCGCCTTCCATCCAAGTCCACCACGCTGGCCACGCCGCTCATTATATACTGTATCTCATCCATGTCCTTCTCTGGTTGGCTGCCTTCCTTTCCCGCATGCCATTGGATCGCAGAGGGACACGGGATTGGCTGAGACCAGGTGGTCCAACATGTCTGCGCCCTAATCCGACGCCACACCACACTTAAGGGTTTGAGAATTTGGTTTCGTCGCACGTTTATCCAATTAAAAATTTGCCTGCAATGTCTTTTCGGCCTCCCAAGCGGCGACAATTTAAGTCTACTCGCTTTGCAAGAGACTCAGACTCTGAGGATGAAAATGTTTTGGGTTGTGATTTGAAAAATGGTCCATCTGCATCCATTCCAGTTGAGGAGGCCGTAGATTGCATAAAAACGTGGCAAAATTTCCGAAAACGACGCGCTGGTGTCAGTGCAGAATCCCTATTTGTTGGAAAGAAAATTGAACCAGGAGTTTTGGTTGAGGACGACCCTTTTAAACTTAAAAGTGGTGGTCTTGTAAATATGAAGGGTACTTTTCGAAAACCATTGAGGGACGAGTTTGAAGATGAAGTTCGCCTTTCTAAAACTTTTACCGCTGAGACTAATAAAAGGGATGAAGATGCTGACATGTAAGTTTCACTTAGATCCTTAGTTCTTCCATCCTAGAGTAAATAAAATTAGTTTTCTCCCGCATCCCTATTCTCGTGTCAGCTTTGTTTGGTGTCATTAACCGTCCTCTTTTTTTTAATTTCAGGCTGAAGTACATTGAAACTGAATTGGCTAAAAGGAAGGGAATCACGAAGACTGAGCCGGATGCCCCTAAGTAAGCACCTATGTTTATACGACTGTGTAGTGTTGCTGGTAGTGTATCGCTCTTGTCCTCTCATCAGCCCGCGGTTCATGTTGCAATTCTAGCATTATTTTAAAATAATATGATGGGATAGCGCAGGAATCGAGCCTTGAAACTTTAATCCTATGTCTGTTTGTGTTTCGCCTTTTCTCACCAACTTTTGTATCAATGTAAATGGTTATCCCTTCAATCAAACTGGCTTTTACGTTTTTACGTGTTCAACCTTTTCCATCACCCTTGTGAGTTTCCAAATAGCTCCTATCGTTGCAGACTTATTCTCTGATTTGGTACCGCTCCTATGCGTTTGATGCCCTGATATTCTCTTCGAAAATGCTATGTAAACAAATTAACTCAAAGCAATTGTCTAGTCCAATTGCTGTCAAATCTGGTTGGTTTAAGGCCCATTTTGGACGATCGATGATCTTCTATAATTGCCTCAAGTTTGGAACCTAAATTTAGTGGCTTCGCCCTGGGTTTTGATTTTTTTGTGGTTAGGTGCTTTTGTTTTCCCTAAGTGTTAGTTCTCGACCTTTTGTGCTGCATTGTTAGTTACTATTTCATAACACTGCAAGCCCTTTACTTAAACCCCTATAAGCGAATCGTTTTTGTTAGTTTCATGAATATACTTAAGCACCTACTTATTTCGTAGTTAACATATTATTGTTAGCAAATTTATCCTAAAAGTTATATATTTAACTTCGGCGGTATGTGAAACCTTGGGTCCTATAATCGCTAGATTTTGCCTTTGGGTTTATGCTCATGATTCAGAACGCTTATGTAGTTTGATTTTAAGTAAATAGTTTCGGTAGAAAATTGGCGTGTGTATTAGTCATTTTGATATTTCAAGTACAACAATACTTCCAGCCTTTTTGCTCAAACATCTACCAGCAACTCACTTATTCAGTCGGAATTTGAAATAACCACTTAGTCTAGAATCCACAGTTCCGGTAAATACTTTTAGTTATTAATCACATACACCTACGGACGGAAGCATTGATTCGTCGGAAATGCGTTGAGCGGAAAAGGTATTTTTAAAGCGCTTTTAGACTTCCGGTTTTTACAATGTTTGATGTTGCATTAGTAACTAAGACTAAGTTGATTCGTTGCATAATAACTTCTTTACTTTAAAGGACGGTTATTGACAACATTTTGGCCGAAATTCCAGAGGCCCTAAAACCAAAGATGGGCCAACAGTCGGAGGACATGTTGTCAAACCAAATGCTCTGCGGCATACCTGAGGTGGACCTTGGCGTTGAATCAAAGATGCGAAACATCGAGGCAACTGAAGAGGCAAAGCAACGACTCTTAAAAGAACGCTTAAACAAGCGCCAGAAAAATCCTGCCGACGACCTGGCTCCATTCAATATGTCCGTCAACTTTGTCCAACACAACCGATGGAGTGAGTCAAGTTCTGTGGTAGTCATGTAAATCGCAGATGTATTGCGGGTGTATAACAGGGCCAAACAATTTCCCGACTATCTTCTTCAGGTCACAAAAATTGCTTAAAGTTCAATCCGTCTAAGTAAAATGCCCTTTATCTCGTCGTCTCATGTGATACAGATAACCATGTAATTTATGTCCATTTCTACGTCGGCGTTGCTTTTTGCTGGGGCAGAGGGATTGAGTAGCGACTCGGCTGTCTAGTAGAGTGTCTTCAAAGAGTTACTTCTTTGCAGTCCTCCTATTTTTTTTTGCAAAAATATCTCTTGTATTTCGCCGCTTGTGTTGCCCTAATAACGAACTTCATACGATTTATCATCATGTTAGCCCAATTTAATTTCCACAACCTCAGCTATGAAATAAATCCTCGCGCCTAGATTCCGCATGCGAGAGCGAAATCGTTGTCATGGCCTATTAAGATCACGTGGCATTTACGACGTGTTCCGACTACGTCCCCGTTTTATCCACACACCTTGCACCTGACCCTCTCGTTTGCAGCGTAACCAGACCTTCTCTGGTCTTTGTTGAGGGGTGGCTTCCTGGTCCAGGGCCTGACTATCGTGGAATCAAGTCGACAGTAGAATGCTTTATTTAGGTCTCATTTACGTAGTAAACAGTAGCGGTTATGGCCTAGTCTTTTTCATTTTTCGGATAACACTTTTTTACGACTAGCAGTCATGCAACTGCTCTATTGCTGCGCTGTGTTTCGTTCTCAAATGTTACACCCACAATCCCATGAAACTGGAAAAGGGGTTCTGGTTGGGCTTTTTGCACCCGACTGATGCCGAAGCCTGTTTGTTTTTGCGCTCCCCATCGCATCGTTTTCCCATTTGGGAAGTATTAGGTTTCATTACCTGTGGTTACTTAACATTGTTATAAAACACATCGCTACCAGCAGCATTCAATCACTGACGTTAGTGATTCTTCATGGTGGAATTCCTGCCTTCGAATTTTTCTTCATTTCCTACTTTGTTGTTTTTCTAGTCTAGCCATTATTATACTCTGCAAAGATCTTGGTGTATCCTTAGTGTAATTTCACTACATCAAGTCATCTAAATCAATTCCGATTACAAATCAACCTTCCTGTTACGTTTGCTCAAAAACCCACGTTTGTGACCGTCTAATGTGACTATCAAATTTTGCGTAGTTTACTTCATTTTTTTCGCCTTTCCTTAACTGCGTGAAGTGTTATAACATTATTCTTAGCTTTCTACTTCCTACTTTACGGGAATTTTATTGTAATAAAGGGTCATTACTTACCGTGATCTAAATTACCGATTAGCAATTTCCTTATTCGGTACATAAAAGGAATCGCCTGATGTGGCAGTTAAATCATGGCCGATGTATTTTTTATTTCTGGCATTCAAGTGGTAACATTTCGGCTTGTGTTCATTCTTGGCCACACAATGTGAACGTTGAAAGCATGCATTTCTAGTCGTGTTGCATTTGGTGCTGCGTAATCTGAGGTATTGATAACAATGTAAATCCGTGCTGGCGCGGGCCCCACCTAAAAGCAACTACCAATGCCTGGTATCCGGTCGCAAATATTTACCTGAGGTCCTAACTCTTCGTTGGAACGAATCTCATATGCATGTCAGTGGTGGTCACTACTTCAATTGTGTACGCTTCGACCTCTGATTGTGACAGCCGTGGTCACGTGCAATTCTCAACACCAGTTTCCTACACCTTTTTCGGAGATACTTTTTTTGACTTGGGATTACCTGACACTACGTCGTAGGCTTTGGTTCTAAACTGGAACGAGTTCGTTATTTGGGCATTTTGTTGACAACGTTTAATCCCATCCAGGATGCGCTTATACCACTTTTTCCACGTTAAATCATCGAAAGTTTTGTATGAAACGTTGAATGCTGACACTCACACACTGATTGTTGTCTTCCCCAGATAATTACGTCGACCAGACGTTGCATCGTGAGCTAACCGTGCAGCTCCACGACAACCCTGACCGGCCGGATGTCCCCGAAGTTCCTCCGATCGCCGATCCTCCTGCGCTTGAAGGTCAGTGCTATTTCCACGTCATACCTGCCTTCAGTGTATTTTGACAGCTACGACTGTTTCTGGGACGCTTAAGTACAAAACTTAAGCCGTTTTAGGGTGGATTTGTGCCGCCAATGATGACGCTATGGAAGGGGTGACATCATAGATGTTCACGTAAAATATGCTCTATTAGACTTTATTCGTGAACCTATTCCAATGTGTTTACACAGCGAATCTTTTTTCAACTTTTTCTCGTCATCTTTAAGTGGAAGTTTTCTCTCACAATCGGCCTGTTGACACAGGGACAATGCAGTTTCCTGTTTTTGTGCATGCCTGACGCTTGTCAGCCTGCAGGTTATTTTGACCGAGATTTGGCTGTGACTAGGATTTACACTAAGTTGCGACGTGTTTATAAGTGAGATTTAAATAAAAGGCAATTTGAGTCTGAAGTTGGATTAGACCTCTAACATTTCAGTAGACAGTTGTGTTTTTAATTGTCACCTTTCATCTTTTAGCCGAACGACGGCGGTTACAAGGTGAAAAGTCAACGGACTCCAAGGTTCTACAGAGGTTTAAGAACTACATGCAAAACAAAAGGGGAAGGTGAAAGATCCGGAGGAATCACCTTGTGTACATTTTATTTGATGAAATACCTGTTTCAATCACTTCAGTCCTGGCCTTTTTCTTGGCTCTGTGGAATCCAAATCGCCTGCATAAAGTGCAAGACCTTGTTAGAATCGTGTTGTCTACCGTCATAAGCTGTAAGGGCTAAAATTGAACCAGTCACGTAAAGTGTGAATTGGGCTATTTCCCTAACTTTATCTTAGTAGTGTTGGGGAAACGTGGAACTTTTGTAGCCCCAGACCAACGTAAGGCCCAAGTTTTAAAGTTAAGTGCCTTTGTTTAACAGTGTTTGACCCAGGCACCAAGGCACGATCCACTAATAAAGTTGGCGAAATGCGTGACTGTGATCGTGAGTGAAAGGTTCAATATCCGACCACCTCTCTGTCCGCTTTGGGGGTTGAAGCCACGGATCATTAACAGGGTAGCATTGACCTGATTGCGTGAGGTCAGGACCTGGAAGGGCCTGAACACATTCAGCTAGTGACCCAGACGCGAGATTTGTCATTCGTTTGCGTATGTCACTATGCCCTGATAGTTGAATCGCACGCTGAAACACCTGCCTTAATAACTATGACACCCAATTGAAAAACTTTTTAAGTCGTTCACTTCATGTTTCTAATTTTTGCTCCTTTCTTCAGCCCCAGGAAAAGGAGCATTTAATATACACTTTTGATTATCACGCCTTATCATGAAATAATTTCCTTATTTTTGGAAAAGAAAGAGGAGATTATGTGTTTTTGGTAATGGCATGGCCCATTTACGAACTAATTTTTCAATGTAACACGAACAAGGAGAGTATCGAACTAACAGTACGTCGAAGTCAACAGACCCGTCTGTCATCCTAATGTGCGTGGAAGTCTATAATCTCCCTAAAAGTTAGCATTTAAAAAGATGTTTTAACAATAAGTCACATCCCCTGGGGTATCCCATTAAGAACTTCCCCGTTTGTATGAATTTCTTCATATTTTTTCTGCCATTCAGTTGCTATGTCTACGTTAATAATGACACCCATGCTTCAGCGTAGTATCCCTTCACAGCTGCGACACATTAATCAAGGTGGTGGTTGATCTACTCTAAATATTTAAAGTAAAAAAATTAAATGAAGGAAGGAGCATATTGGTCTGTACAGACGTAGAAACATCTGACGTCCACATTTCGTCCTAATGCATTCTCGTTAAGCATAATAACTACAGCGAAGGGTTTGTAAAAGTCATCCGGGATAGTGAGTTAAAAACAATGATTAAATTTCCCTAATAACCAAAGAAATATGCATATCTTTTTTTTAGCTACCCGATCTAAATAGTGCTGAAAAAAACAAATTATTATCTTAGGTGTTCGGAAAAGATAAAAGGCCTCATGGAAAAGAGTTTTAGTATTTGATGCTATTTAATTGGGCGTACTTAGGGATCTTGATAAGTGAAATTTTCCAAAAAAATAACTTTTGATAGACTCCAGCCTTTACCTGCTTGACCTATAGTAAAATATCATCTCAATGTGAATGTACACCGTTTGTAATGTAATGTTGACCATTGAGTGTCATCACACAAGTTTGCTCTCACGAGTCTTGACATTACCAAGGATTTGTTATGTGAGTACGTTTTTCTACAAAATAATGGAGTAAAGTTTTCTACTTGCTGGAACTCCAATTAGTGATGTGACTTCAGAACCCATGATCACGGAAACATGGCTTTTTGTGGATTAATAGTATCAGTGCAAAAAAAATTTGTAGTGGAATTTC